AAAAAAAAAAAACTCTGGCCATAAAAAAAAGGTGTCATTTAGATTTGTACTAATTAAGCTGTTGAAGCATGAGAAGCTTAGCTGGATTTTATGAACGTTTTGTTTGTCAGATACCAGCATTTGGAACATATAAACTCTTTGGTATCTTGAAAGGGTTTTTGTGGCAAGGTACAGAGGTACATTCTACCCTTAGATTTCTGTTCTGTCTTCACAGGAAATGGATAGCAATTATAGACTGACTAGGGTAGATGGTTTTTATGAACGTGAAATGCACAGGGAGCTGAAGAGGATGAAAAAACTCAAAAGAAGAGAGAAAAGAGAGCTTCAAGAGCCAAATATGTGAGGACTAGGACCCGATAAGGTGATTGTGAAATGAAGAGAAGCACTTCTCCATTCCTTCTCTTGAATGCAAATTAAGATTACTATTTCACTGCACTGGGTACTGTGGTTTGTGAATCGAAGAACAACCGTCTGATCTTGTGGCTGCAAATGTATGGTATTGTTACAGATTATGTACTCGAATAAGTGTTTTTATGAAGTACTCTTTAAAAGTTGTGTACTTATATATTCCTTTGCTGATATATATATATATATATATATATATATATAAACCTTGGTGGTAATATGACATAGTTTTATAAATAATCCGAATGAAAATTAGACCTAGCCGGGGGAAACATATGGAGCCTTACCCCTCAAAAACAAGCTAAGCTACATTATTAAGGAAAGAAACATGAAAAAGTATGCAGCTATTACATTCCAAAAGAAAACATTGCCAAATGGATACCTTTGCTTCCTTACCATGCCCCTAACATTGCCAACCTCTTGAAAGGAATTGTGGTTCTCATTTAAGGGCAAAGCTAAGCTTCTTATTAATCATGATCACATCTTGAATGGCAAGCATCAATCATTGCTTGTAGTGTGCATTCTACTGCTATAAGTGGTTGACCTAAAAAATGAGTGATGAGAACAATTTAGTTGTTTTCAATTATGAAATTAGTCCAAAATGTGAGGGTTAAACTGTTATATTCTATCCGTAAGGGCGTGCAAGTGTTGAAAGAGTATTTACACGGGTAGAATAGAATTTGATAGGCACTTGGGGGTAAAGTTCAATTGGGAGCATATTTTCTTCCTCTCCAGCCAACTTGTGTTCTGCAATGAATTTGTTAGTTTTCTCCTATAGATTGTGGTTAAACAACTTGTCAACTTACAACCTATCCAGGCCCTTTTCCAAACATTGGGTGAACTTCTTCAAGATTCTCAAAACAAATAGAATACAATTTGGGACCATAATAAGAAGAAAGAAAAACGACTGCCCAGCTCCCCTGATTAAAAAAAACACTAAACGGGTGTCGGCTAGTATGCTTACAATGACATTCAACCACCATGGTCCAGCCAAAGAGAGGAGGTCGAAGTCTCTATTTCAAAAGGGTGGTGACGGGAATCTGTGCTGACAGAAAAAAATTAACTATTGGAGAGAGGATATGCAATCATCTACTCAACTCAATCTGTACATTAAACAATGTTTAATAGGAAGACCCCCTAGTGATAAAACAATCCAGATTGGAATTAAACGCTATATCTCAAACACTTTGTACGCATTCTTTTGCATATAAATGCATTCAGTTACATGTCACGGGACAACCCAATTGGATGAATTTTCTTAAGGGAGAAAGGAAAGTGCATGAATTTGGACTGTATAACTTAGATAATTACACCGAGGAAGACCAGAAATAGAAGATGACATACATACAATTCACATCTTTCTTTTTTTCTTTTCCATCCATGTTAAATTACAATAGAGCATTGAACTACATAAATTGCATATTTGCCCGTCTTTCATCTTCTGCCAAGGCTGATTACTAACATTGCAATGTTCTCAAATCCAGAGCTTCCCTTTGTTTCTTTCTGAGTTCTGATATGTCTGCAACTGTTAAAGTACAACACACCACAAGGACTTGCCCTTCAACACGCCCTGGGAATAATTTATGGGTGTATCAACACACAACAAGGACTTACCCTTCAACAAGCTCTGGGGATAATATATAGGTGTATCACCCTTTGATCATGCGCAGATGCCTTGTTCTGGAAGAACTGTTAAGAGATTGAATTCGCGCTCCAAAATCCATGAAGACTCATTTTGATGGTTGATAATCGAGCTATACTCCTGGAAGTACCCATTGTAGGTGATTATTGATATAGTTGCCCTGAACAATGCAATACACACAAGTTATGGAAAATTCCTGCAAATTTATTTAGAAAATGACAAGAAAGCAATGAGACAAAGTTATTCTCAAGAAGAAAGAGTAACAAGGCAAAAGTCTCAAATATGAGGTTAATGAAATTAATTGTATATTTTTGGATCATTGTACAAGCATGCAGTTTCTTCTTCCAAGAATGTATATCATCAACCAAATATAACTTTGTAAAAGCCCGAAAACTGCAGCAGCATATCAACCTAAGCCCATTTGGAAGCTAATGGCAACCAAAAATCAAAGAATCCATCCTCAATTTTGTGGTATGGCAATGACTCACTGTTGCATCATTTCACACAAATAGAACTCAGAAACATGGGCTTTGATGGAACTTCAAAGAATATTTATACTGGATTGACATCAAAGTTTAAGAAGTCTGTCACATTTTTTTTCAACTTTTAATGCAAGCTCTCAAGTATGGTTTATTTTGAACCACAAGTAATAGCCTTCATCTCCTAGAAGATGAATTATGGTGGCATGTACCTTTATTCGCTCAGGCAGAAGTTGTAGTGATGATGCATCAACCACAACAGTTCTTTTGGAAGGAAATCATGAATCTTGGATGGTGATTAGGAGTTCTTAACTTATACATAGTTTGAAATTACATCTAGAATTTAGTGAAAATTTGTTGTCTCACCAAAGCAACAATGAAATTACACAATTGAAATTGGCACAAAGTTCAACATCAACAAGGAACGATAAGGAATTGCCTTTATCTGTCAATATGCCATGCAGGCACCTATGATGCATTTGAGAACACACATCAGTTTACATCTTATGTTTCTAATCTGATAGTTTGTTTACCAAAAAGAGATATTGTCAATCCCCATTGGCATCAATGGATCTTTAACTCGCAATTGACTTCAAAATCCATGTAGATGGTGCTTAGAGAGGGAATTCGAGTCAGAGTGCAGGTGGAGGCATCAGAAGCCCCCTCTTTCTGAACAGAAAAAAAAATGGCATTTGCAAGACAAAAAAGACTTTTTCAAAAAGCCTTTGCCCCTCCTATTCAACGGGCTAGCAGAGATGCAGAGTAGTGGGGATTAAAAAGGATTCGGCTCGGTCCATAGCATACAAAAAGTCTCTGCACCATTGGAACCAAGATCGGGCTTGGCATTATGAGTTTTCCCGGTCTATTTAACTAACTGAAGCTAGCCGGGATCAAGAGCTTTATTATCATGCGGTTCTTGGATCGAAAAGAGGCTGCTGGACCAAGAGCCTTAGAAGCCTAAGGAATGATTTATATGGAAAAATCGGGAGAAATAGGAAGAACTATGAATGTAGAACATATCAGAGTATACAGACCCATGATCACCATTCAGCAGCAGGACCGCCAACTGTAATTTCCCTTTTTTTCTTCAAGAGTTTCTATGCACAACCAATTTCCCAACCAGGACTTCCACTCCACACCTGTGCCTTTACCAATCAAACTAACAGCTGTTGGCAGTATCTTCTAGTACCATGCCAAACTATTCATATGCGTTGATAAATAATTAAACCTCATATTGCCCGTGTTCAATTTAAAATGTGTCTACTGTGTAACTGGAGAAAAGATATTGGCTAATCAGGTAACCTTTGGGGCAACACTACACGGACCAGTTTGTGATGGCAACCAGTAGGGTAACTGGCTGGATGGTTCAACCTCACAGCATATTCTTGAATTTCTAATCGAGGCCCTTCATGAAATAATATATTGCTAAGCCATTGCAGTTATACTCATTATACTGACCAAGATTTGCACACATTATCCAATTGTCATTTTCCTAACTGTACATCATAAAAGTATAGAATCATTGACCATTCAAGCCTAACTGCACACATTATCCAATGTTTTCCTGATTGAATAGGAAGACATAGACCTAAAAGGTGAATGCAAAAAAAGTGAAATAATCCGACATAAAATGCCAGATCATTATTAACAACAGAGCATAAGATAAACTCACCTAAATGCCACAGATTCAGATTTAGATGTGTCAGGAACTTTGTCTACCGTGCGAATGACTGCATAACTGCACCAGAATAGCTGATCTCAAGGAAAGCATGCTAAGGACAAAATTAATATTGCGTGTGTTCTCTTAACAAATGAATGAGTAAATTAATGCCCAATCTCAAGGATGGTCTACCGAAGTGATCTTAATGCATGTGGCCTCTTTGAGTATAGATATGCAATTCTATATGTGATGAGTATTCTCAAAGTCACTGATTACATCAAGACTTGAAAAGCCTACTAACAATTCTAATGCTGATTGTACAAAAACAACTAAAAGCAATTGTGTTTTAAGTGTACATGCAGTACTTCAATATTGCCCCTCCGGCCCGACCCTCTTCATTTTTATATTTTAACATGAGGAACAAGAATATAAGAATGCTGTTAACCTAGTTGGCCGAAGGCCAAAATAATGATTTTGAAAATTCCTGGAGATCTAGACCTAGAAATATGGGGGTTAATCAAATCATATCAACTACGCACCATACTTCCAATTGCACCAGATCAGAGTTTAGATTGGCCTAATCGAAATTTTACTGAATCTCAAGAAAAGCTCTCGCCCCTGTGCAGCTATACCAAACAAAGAGGTCGAAAGATCAGTTTTTGACCCCCTTTTTTAGGTGGATATTCATTCTGAAGAAGAGAATGAAATGTAACGGCTATTCAATTTTTGCTCCTCTGCAGCTATATCCTTGCAATTTTATGTTTATCAAATCAATCAAATAGAGATTATCACAATTGAAAGGAGCCAGAACATGGCCTCTACCCAACAACGCTAAAGTATTACACATATACAACCATGACGTTGTATGCCATCCTCAACAGTCAACCAATTGGGAACTTATTTAGGCCTTGTAGAATAACTTTACCTTTTGACTCCAGGAGGACCAGCATTATGAAGCACATGATGATAAGCAGGATCAAGTGCATCACTAACAGAATCAGGTAATATTGATCCTAGAAAACTGCCTGATCTTTTGCTTCTGAAAACAAGATAGAAAACAGTAATGAAAAAAGATCAGTGACTTGCAAGTCCATCAGATAACATCAAATGCAAGTTGATGAGTCCCTACATATGGTGAAAATAAGACCTATTTGTTATAGTCTTATAGCGTAGGCTAAATGAAATGTTATGCAGCATACCAGGAAGATGTACAAATATAGTTTCTCACCGTTGATCTATAGCAAACCCCAGAGAGAATAAATGAACGGAACCTGAAAAGCTTGTGGCTACAAGAATATCTGGAAGTTCCGTTGATGGACCAAACGACAAGGAAAATATTGTTGATGGGTAAGTCCCCCTTCGGAAGCAATACGACTGCCAAAGACAGAATAGATAGGTTCCATACAAGAAGAAAAGAATTGCATCAATCATCTAAGACATGACAAGTGAAGTTGTGCTACTGATGCTTAAGCATTTATGTGATATGAATAGAGTTAGGCAGCAGCATGGCGGCACACAGAGGGTGGTCCAGCAATAAGATAGGTCTTGGCTTGTAGAACCTCACAGACTTTAAAGGTCATGACAGATAACTCACTAAAATCAGTTCTTGGTAAGCCATCGAACCCCAATAGCAACTAAACCAGGTCAATATCTGCTCTGAAAATCTGAATTGTGGACTCATCAAATGGCAATTCTGTTCCTTGTCCTTCATGCAGGCAAATGTGGCAGTATGTGCCAGATTAAAAAGGTCATTACCTAGTCTGATCTCCCTTAATCGAGGGTGCTGGGAGGGGTGGGACAGGGCATAATCCTAATCTTTGGCATCATTACACAAAATGACTACACTCATATTCACACACATAACCTCAGTTGTTGGTCTGGCACTTTTACCATTCCACATGACAATGGCACCTGCAGTATATGAAAACATACCAATGGGCCTTTGGTCCAATGGTACTCCTTGTCTTGTAAAGGCTTTGCCTTCTTAAGGTCAAGGGTTCAAGCCCCACCCCCAAAAAAAACGTATATGAAAACATGGACATTCTAATTCAGATGTAGCAGAAAACTCCATGTTTGAAGTCCCACTAAATGCAGGGATGATTTTAACCTTAGTTGCTTCTGAAACGAGATGAACTCTGATTATGGTCCCTTGTTCAGATGCTGTTGCAATATACATCCCATTTGAAGAAAGAACCATTGCAGCCAATGGTGAGCGATGAGCATCTATCTGCATGTTGGATAAATTTAGCAAACAAAATGACTTAAAGGACATGCAGGTAAGTATTTCTTAATGCATATGAAGTCACCATCAAAACCGAAATACAAATCCAGAACATACTGCTCCCCTGAAATTAAAGCATGAACTTAATAAAACTAGAGATCATAATCATGTGATCGATAAATGTTAAATCAAATTGAACAAAAGATGAAAAAAGTAAAAAAAAAAATTCACATTGAAAAAAAAAACCCTTTCCTTCCTTTTTCCACCCTTCTAGAATCTAGATCCAAGTTTGAAATTAATGTATTCATAGATTGTTCACCATTGAACTTGTTTCACCTTGAAACTAGTTGTGGACCTGATGTCGTGTGTAATAACATTACATCAAAGAGATGAAATTTTTTGCAAGGATTTTCTCGAATTCATTCAAGACGTGTAAGGGGAAGACACCCAAAAAGAAAAAAAATAACCATAACACTCGAATTAGACAAAAGAATAATAATACTTAGAGCAACTTTCCAATATGTCATAGTAACCTAGCTCACTAAGCATTCATGGATCTAGGACCAGTTTATTGGTGTTCAGATAAAAAAATTACGTCATAAAACTGGAAAGGCATAGATTTGTATCATCATTTCCAAATATAAAAGGTAAAAGTGATAAATGAAATGGGAAAGGCAGCGAATATCACTTGGAAGGAACTACCATCCTCTATCAGGGTTCAGATCAGAATAATATAGGTTTTTAAAACACAAATAAAGTAATGAAGGAAAAATTTAACAGAGGAAATGATAACATTTATATGCCCATAAACCAATTCCATGAATTCTTTCTGTTTGGGGGATGAGTTAAAAGACAACATTAATGGGACCCAAAAATAATGAGACATTTCTCCTACCACAAAGCTGTCCATATTCACCAGCATCATGGTTAATGATGCCTCACAAAAGAGACCCGTCTTTGTCGATCTCCCAAATCCGTGTAAAAATAGCTTCATTGAAGTTAACGTTGCATATATTCAAAATGCATATATTAATAGGCCTTCCATATATCTGCATCCCTTTCATAACATAGTCTTCCTCATTGTTGTAGACCTTTTTTTCCAAAAAATAACAGTAATACCAGAGTATACCATTTTTAAACCCAGGCAATGGATAAAAAGCTTTGTATAATACTTGGAGAAAGTTATTGCAGCGATGAAAAGATAAGAAAATGACAAGATAGCCCTCATGTCAGTGTAAAACATATGAAAATTCAGCATAACCTCACAGTGTGAATGGAGTTCCATAACATTGTAGACTAACACGGACCCTTTTGTTGTACTTGCTGGAAGAGCCAAAAAGGAACCTTCCAAACTTGCAGAAAATGCACAAAGTCCTGAGATGAAACAAATAACACTAACAAAATTAATAATCAAAACCTTATAACAACAGAAGTCAATATTACAATTCAATTTATTCATATCATAGGGTTTTGTAAGGAATCTTCAACTCTTGCTGAGTGACAGGGACACCCTCCTTGTTTTGCCAAAGCCTCTCCAACAACAGCAGATTTACCTCACTCCTCAAGGGCCCTTCCCCTTGCTGACCCATGCCTCCCTAATCACCTCCTGTTCGGTTGCTTTTTTACTATATGACCTATACTTGTGAAGTCATGAGTTTAAAAAGTTATGCAATGTATACCTGCGAGGGTATTATTTAACTTCATTATTGGAAATTATTTTAATTTATTAATCTTTGATCCTCTCAACTTAGCATCAATAATTCCCATTCTGGTGTCTCTCTCTATTGATCACCTTCAAGGCATCTGTCAACCCCTCACTTTAGTCTAGTTTCCCAAATGTTGCTTGTGTCTATAAAAAATTATTGTATACCATATCCAATGATTAGAACCACCCAAGTTGATTTATTTGTGTGAAGAGAACTATTAAACCTTGAAAAATTAAGCGGACTTACATTGGTTTACATACTTGATGGATTACTCCAACCATTGACAATTGATTTTGAGTTGAATGGTCTAACATGATATCACAGCCGCGCCGTGGGTAGCTGGTGAGTTAATTCTCTTACTCAGCTGAATTCCCCGATTTGTTTATTTGTTTGGCTCGGTCAACATCAGTCTATTTATGTCTATTTTCGATTTTTTAGCCCACATGCGAGTTCGGTTCACACTGAGTAGGGAAGGCAATAGACCGGGGCAAGGGCAGGACCAATAGTCTACAATCTCGTACCCGCTTCAAAAATGGATGTTCATCCCCATTTCACCCCGTCAACAGGGGAAGTTCTAATCCTCATCCCTGCCCCACGAGTAAATTCTAATCCCCCTTTGTCTTTGCCTAGTTGGACTTCCAGTTGATGGCGCCGATATCAAAAGGTACCTCAAAAATTCAAGCAACAAACCACATCCAAAGCAATAATCAAGATAATACCATAGTCATACACTAAACCAGATTTGAAGCAAAAAGGGAGAACACAAAAAAAATGAAGTTATCAAAAGCGGGAAGCCAAATCTAAAAATATATATATATATATATATATATATGAAAAAACATAGACCAGATCTATAATAAGAAAAATCATAACCAAATGTCAAGAAAGCTAACCTATAACAAATTTAGGCAAAAACAAACAAAAAATCACACACCTAACAAAAAAAAATCATGTTCTAAGAAAGATTTGGATTCTTCGCCGGAGAAGATGAACTCAAGTAGCGGGTATATATGCTTTGCAGTTGTCAGAGGTGAGTGGGTTGGTGATAGCTTGGTGTTGATGACAAGGGTTGTTAAGCAAGAAAAATAGAGAGAGTGCGAGAGACGGGGAGAGATTAAGGCAAAGAAAGTGGGAGAGAAAGAAAAACAGGTGGCCGGTTCTAAGTGGGATTGGGGTTTGTGCTGCGTGTGGATTTTGAATATTATAAACTAAGTAGATTAACGGGGCGGGGAAGGGTGGGGCGAGGATAGGTTTTAGTCCATCCCCGTACGAATTTGTAAGGGTATTCTTGTATACTTCTACCGTCCAATTCGCACGGCCTATCCCCGATCTAAACGGGACGAGTTTGGACGAATCCCCATTTTTTCTCAATTCATTGTCATCCCTACACATAAGGGAAGGTGTGAAGGGAGCTATCCCACATTAAAAAATTAAATAGACCCAAAGTTAGTTTATATGCTTGAGGGGCTACCCTAGCCATTACCGATTTGTTTTTGGTTGGATGCTCTAACAATATCCTTATGGGGTCTCTCCACACATTGCTAGTTAGTTTGGATTGGATTCTCTAACATGAAATCAGAGTTAAGTCATGAGTGGTCATTACCATTGGACTAAATTTTTTCCTCATTTGAATTTTGTGGTATGCACAGTGTTATTTAAGGCGTAAAGTGAATCGAAGCGACCAAATATCCTAAAGCTTAGACGAGAAGCGAAGCAAAGCGCAATACTTTATCAAAACAAAGCGAACAGTTAAAAAAGTAGTAAGTATTTTATTTTATTTACTTCTAAATATCTAAATTCTAATTTTATAAATCATCAAGTTCAAATGCATCACAGAAAAATCAGCATTATAAAAAATCAGCATTCAGCATTACAGAAAATCACCATTCAGTATTACAGAAAATCACCATTTAGTATTACAAAAAATCAGCACTACTATCAACAAAATTAGTATTACAAAAAATCAGAATCAACAAACATAAACAATACAAAATCAACAGAAATAAGCAGTACAAAAAATAAGCAAAAGTATTACAAAAAATCAGCAAAGGTAGAAAAAAAAAGAATCAGCAAAATAAGCATTTACAGAAAATTAGCATCAAGCAGAGAGAAACAGAAATAGAAGTAGAATCAGAAGAAGAGAAGAAGTAAAAGAAGAAGAAGAAGTAGAAGAAAACGAAGAGAAACAAAAGCAGAGAAGCATAACCAGAAGCAGAAAAAGGGAATAACAAAAACAAGAAGCAGAGAAGAAGAATCAGCAGAAGAAGAGAAGAGGAGAGGAAAGAAGAGAGCGTACCTCTGTTGTCGAAGTAGAAGCAAGAGGAGAAGTAGCAATAGAAGCTGGAGAAGAAGTAGGTACTGTATTTTCGGTCGAAAAAGAAGAAAAAAAAGAATTAAAAAAGTAGAAAAAGAAGAAGAGGTGGAGAAGAAAAGGAGGAGGAGAGAAATAGAGAAAAAGCGTGTATGGTGTTTTCTGTTGAAGAAGAAGACAGAAGCAACAGCAGATGCAAAGCTGTGGAGGTAGAAGAAGAAGAAGAAAAATAGAGAAGAAGAAGAGAAACAGAAGAGAGAAAGAGAAGAATAAGAGAGAGGCAAACATATGGACTAGCGAGAAAGAAGTAGCAGCAACAAACGTCTGGCTTATTAGGCAAAATTAGGGTTTGGGTGTTGTATATATTGAGATAAGCCTAAGGGGAAATTGGGTGTATGGGCATCTCACAATTTTGTTCCAATTGCCCCAATCCAACAATTTATAATAAAAATAAAACAATCAAATGGTCTATAATTAAAAAATAAAAAAACTTTAAAAACTTAGCTAAGGCGCGCTTTTCTCACGTTTCGCTTAAGTGAGAGGCACTCGCTTTTCTCACTTTTTAATCGCTTCAGTCATATTCGCTTCGTCTTGATTGTTCAAAGTGAGACAACCTCGCTTCGCATCTCGCCTAGGCGAGCTTTTCATAACACTGGATACGCATATTTGTCTGTTTGTTTGTTAGGCTCATGTGCGAGCCTAGATCCCACGTAAGGGAGGGTGGAAAGAGAGTTTGTATCCCACACCGAATGATTGAACCACCTAAGGTTGATTTATATACTTGAAGGGCTACTCAACTCATTGTCAATTAGTTTTGAGTGGAATCCTCTAACAATGTCAAATTTCCCTTAGTTCAAACTACAAGCAGTTAACAAAATAGCCTAGGATGGCCTAGTAAAAGCTTGACACCAATCCATTGCTGGTTAACCATGGTGGTGAAATTAAGATTGTTGAGGTCAACATTTTTAACACAAGTTTAAGGAGAATTGATGCCCACGAAAAAATTGCTATTGGTCAACTTGAATTTGTGGTACCTACATTGTGTGATTGCATAGACAATCGATAAATATATCACGTCAATGCATCTGATATATGCTTAGAAGGCATTCCTTGTAAAATGTGTAGCTGTTTTGTAAGAACCAAGAAAACTTCACAAATGCTTGACATAACAGAGAGCTTCGTGCGAGACTCTTATCACACAGTAGCTTGGCTGATAAAAGTGTAAATGCTCGTATAACAGAAAATTTCAAAGAAAGACAGTCCAACTCGAACCTTTTGAATTTGGCACTGTATCAATTGTGTCCAATATAGACAGACTGTTTAAGTCATATATATATGTCTTCTCCTGCAAAACAACAATCAATCTGCACATACAAAGATATTGTTAAGAGACAAATCTACCATTGTTTTTTTAGTGAAAAGAATAGGCCAACTTCCTATCAGTACTAAAATAATATGTGGCATGTCAAGATAAAAAATTCTACTCCCTCTACCTCTCCAGATATAGTCTTTAATTTTTTCTGAAGTGAGATTGGCAACCTCTCTGCTCCTCTTTAGCACACATGTATCCCTATGGTCTAATACTTAACACGGAAACCAAAAAGGGAAAATTTTTAGAATTCTAACATGGAATATTAAAGTTCAATTGAACAGAAAAAAAAAAATTAAGTAAAAGATTGACAAAAAAAAAAGAATATCCTAGACCAAGAAATGCGTGAAGTAAAACTGTGTTTTGTAAGCAAGGAGAATGTGTGGCCATGGTCAACCTTCACATTCTAATCTTCTTTTTGCTTAACACAGTATTCATAGTATGCATTGAGGAAGTTATAAATTTCTAGTATATTATCTGTGGCCTTTGTTGGTTGAGTGATAGAAGTGTTTGACTAAATAGTTTGAGGTTATGGGTTTAAATTTGAAATCAAACCCTTTGGGTAGTTAACTGGGACAAAACATGGTGATGACACATTATACGGCGACTTTCAACACACCTAGCTGGCTACATCTAACGACTAATTTGGATGCTTCATTTTCCAAATCTGTAGCACACTCAAGAGGATTGCGGAACTCGCTCCACATTTGGGCACAACCTTCAGAAAAATTAACCAATCGAGCATATACTCCAATAAGTAAGCAACACAAAATTAGAAGTCTGCAATCAAAATGAGGAACAAAAGCATGTTTCATTAACGAACGAAAGAGTCATCTGATCTGCCAAGTTCCACCATATCAAGTGGAAACAGTTGTAAAAAGGTAGAACTTAAAGCAAAAGGCGTGTGGTAAGTGCAAATAGTATTGCAATTTTCTTAATTTGATCCAATGTAAAGAAAGGCAAAATACCTTAGCAAAACCTGCTACATACATAGAAAGGAAAATTAATCAAATTGTAAATTCAACTGAAAAGTCCACATTTTACCAAATGAGAGAGAGTGGGAGAGAGACATCGGTCTTGAGTTATTCAAAAGAAATTAAAAAGAACGTTTTCTGAATAAAATATTAAAAAAAAAAAAGGTCCATTTCAAAACAGATATCTACGTCTGCAGAATATCAATTGATAGGAGTAATATATAGCTTGAAATTTATAGGAAGAATCATGCGTAAAAGAATTAAAGTCCAAATCAACCATGACTATGAAGTTCCGACAAGTGGACTTGGGCTAATATACGGAATTTTCCAACATATTCATATAATGAAATTGTCAACGCCAAATATCAATGTACCATAAGAGAACCAATCAAAGCCCAATACTTTCTGCCTTTCTGGAACAGGCTCAGCTAGTAAAACCCAACCCAAAAAACCTTAGCTTTAATTTATTCCCAAACAATCAGATACAGCAACTTAGAGGAATACTAAAATAGACAATGATATTTTAGGCTGTTTTTATTGGAGATCCTCCTATATATTACATTTCCCAACGAGTTAGCAATCGGTGTATAGGAACCGCCCTTGGCATCAATGAAGAAACATAAAGGTTCATCACATGTCCTAGCCTATTTGATTATATCTCAAAATTCTCTTTTCTAACAAACAAGTATATGAAAAGTGTTTACCTTTTTTTATTTATACGAACAGCAAGAATTGAAGTTAAAAAGTTTAGTTCTCGGAGAGCAGTTCCAGTTGTAGTATTGAACAAACATAGGCGCCTTGGGGATAAGGATGGCTGTTGGAGTAAGATGGAGCATAGTGAGTAATGGACCAAGAAAGCAGAAAAGTAAGATGACCAGCTACAACGTCTCAAATTGCTAATTAGTCGGCTGCAAGAGAACCTGTTCACCAGCACCAACAATTGCAAGAAGGCTTGAGCTAAAAAGCATTTCCACAATAATGAAGGCTCCAACAGCTAGAAAAACCATGGATTTGATTAGGATTAATTGAGCTTAAACAAGAAAGTATTTTGAAAACAATGAATGCAGTAACAGCTAGCAAGCGAATGCAGATATTACTAGGATGATTTTCATCCATAAACTCACCATATATCATTGTATCTCTATGTAAATTAGAATACAACTCAAATCTCTGTTGCAGAAAATGCAAGAACAAAATAAGAAGTTACATAATATTTTGTTAGTTTTCATTTCATCCAATGTATCTCAGAAGAACATAATTCCAATCATATTTCTCAGGGAATTTCAATCATCTCCAAATTGCAAACACCAAAACATGAAGCACAACCAATCTTACCAAAAAATTTAAAACTTTTCCTTCAATTAGTCCTTGCAAACAAGCCATTAAGTTCAACATACATGATTTTACATATGCCCATAACGGAATCTATAAAAAAGAAAGTCAATTTTGAACCTAGACCGATAGTTACACAGATAATATACCTCGTTCATAAAGCAGTCGGCCTGAATTTGAATCAAAGATTCTGAACCCATCCCTCGTGCCAATTGCAAGGCAGCTGAGAAATTCAGCATTATTAAAGTAAATTAACAAAATTTAAACAAATTTATTAAATATCACAATCGAAATTCAATTTAAAGCAACCGAGTTTAAAATTTTTGATTTTCCACAAAAAAACTTATTTATGAAAACTGTAATTTACTAACTATGAATATACAACTTTTATCTCACCCGTTGTCCTGGTTGAAGGAAGCGCAGAGAATTGAATAAGAAGAAGATTGGTTTGCCATTCAGACAGTTTTTGCGTGTGTGCGTGTTTGTGTGCGTGAGAGAGAGAGAGAGAGATTCTGATTTTTGACGAGGGAGAGATTGAAACTTCTGTAGAAACAGTTCCCGGAAGAGAAAAAAAAGTTGGCAGTCAATTTTTCTGAAGGACGTGAATTTAAAAGAGTATACATACACTACACGACAAGGGCAGTACATGGGCCGTTCTACATATTTTGTCCCACTGGGATCCTCATCATTTTTCCCTGGATTTGGGCCCAGATTTGTTTGGGCATGTCTGTTTCAGCTATAGAATGGTACAAGTATACACCACACGCAAAAATAGTTCAGAATTCTTAGGGAGAGATGTCTTCGGGGTGTTACGGTGACACTATAACCAGGTAAGGTGGTATTTGGATCAAAGGATCGGGGGTGTGTTTGGTTTGATGGATAAAGAGGGATAACACCAGCTCAATTGGATAAATTAATTCAAGGCCCACAAAATTCAGCTTTGAATCCACAATATCATATGGGATAATCGTTGAGCTCGAAAACTCGGCCCGTATTATCCCTCTGAACCGGCTACCTTCAAACCACCTGAACTTACCGAAAGGATAGGTATAGGTGATGTAATTACCAAAACACTCATACATAGTAAATTAGCTAGGATTTTTATCTCATTTTCTCTCCACTTCGCCCCACTGGTCCCCTTTCTTGCGAACAGCACTCACTGGTCCCCCTTACATGCTCAAAGGTTTCTCTCTCTCTCTCTCTCCGTCTGTTGTGCTTGTCTTTGTTCACCATCTAGTGTGATGAAGATCTTCCTGAAGAATGTGATTCATGATGTTGTGACCTACACTAAGCACGCTCGTTGCAAGACCGTGATAGCCATGGATGTGGTCTATACATTGATGAGGCAAGGTATGACTCTGCACAAGTTTGGTCGTTAGGGTTTCTGTCTTCAAAAAGTCTTGCAATCAAGAAGATGAAAATTGGGGGGTTTAGGGTAGGTGTGGGTAATTGGGGTTTCCTTTTGGAGGTTTCTGAAAGTAGAGTTTCTATTCTAATATGTTCTTTTAATTATGTAATTTCTACTTTAAAAAAGAGAAATCAAGAGGGTATTTAGCTTAGTTTTTGGTTTTATTTTGTTTTGGGATTTGTTTAAAGTGATCTGATGGGTGTAATTGGAAGTTGCTTTTGTTGTAGAAATTTGAAGAATTAAATTGCTTTGTTTGATTCAAATTTTTATTCTTTGTTTGTTTGATAAGCATTTAATTCCTGATAACCCCGGGATGATCCAAATTGTTGTATGTTGTTGTGTTGTTAAACCAACGGATTAAACATTATAAAAATATAAATATTTTTTAAACTCTATATAATATACTAAATCATAATTTTGCTTCCAAATAAGTACAACTTATTTTATGGCATTCAAATTTGTTAATAGTTACCGAGTAGAATGAAGAACCTACCTCAAATTTGGCTGCTTCTTTTTATTATGGTACTGACTTGAATATGATTGCTAAGTTTAGAGCTTTATATGATGGTTTGTAGCTAATTATGAAATATGGTTTGAATTATTATGGTTTTTTAATTGAATGTGATTCCATAGTTCTTGTGAGTTCTGTTTTGGGAGGTTGTGAGCGCCCTTGGGCTTGTCTGGGATATATGAGGCAGATTAGAGGTCTTCTAGAAGGTTTGGAATATCTATTGATTCATGTTTTTCGATAGACTAATGCAGTTACTGATAGGTTGGCTGTCAATCTGTGTTAAGTAGGAGGTTTGTGGATTTTTCAGTTGACTTACAATTGCCTTTTGAGGTTGGAAATGCTCTGCTTAGTGATCAAAGGAAACTGCCTGTTCTGATCAAAAGGAAGACTCTGATTTTTGATGATAAGGGCTAAGGCTGCTTCTGAATTTTTGTCTTTGAGGAAGTATTGATTTGTTTGAAAAGTTTTTGAAGAAAAGGGTGGTTGTGATGAAGATCTTGGGCTAAGAGATGATGATGTTTGAGAGAGTTTTTTGGCTTTGGTTGTTGAGAGTTTTCTAGCTTTGGTTGTTGAGAGTTTTCTAGCTTTGTTTGTTTAAAGGCATCTGTACCTTATTTTTGAGTTTGCTTTGTTTTTTGTTAGGCATTTGTGTCTTATATTTGTTTCTTGTAATCTTCTGTTTTGTGAATAAATAAAATTTTATCGTTTTGTTAAAAAAAAAGTTATTATTTCCAAATAACTATTCATCCAAACTAATTTTATCCACCCTACTACCCATTCAAACTTGGTATATGATTGGATTGCACTTCCTTGTAAAGGGTGTAGTGGTCATTTTATTTAAATTGATTTGGACATATGCATGGAGCCCACGGTTCACATTATTTCTATCCAAATCAAGTATGACTTCACCAAACAATTTAGGACATGTTGCTTGTATTTTGTACGGATAGGTTAAGACAACCAGTAATATGGACGTGTAATGTTCAAAATATAAACCTCAATGTCTTAAATTTGTGTAATGTTTTTTTTTAAGGCAATGGTTGTTTGGATACACTTTTAACTATGGTATATGTTGAAAAATGGAGGTTGCATTCAGGAGGCTATTTGGATGGTTTGTGCTTAATTGAGCAATATGGTGTAGTTGATTGTAAATTTGTGAAAGAGGCTGATTCCATGGTGCATGTGAAAATTGTAAAGAATGGTTTGGAATTCTGCTAGTTGAATGACGACAACAAATGTCCTCATTTTTTATAGATAAAGGATAACACAACTTGACTTTACATGTGTGTTGTATATATTTTTTCTTTGTGCCACAAGTTTTGTTCTTTTTAACATGTTTTGAAGCAGGTTTGTATACGATTTTTCCCATGCTGGATTTTTGTATTTTTTTTGGTGATTGAGAATAATTTTTTCTTCTTTTAATTTTTTAATAAAAAAAAACCGTTAATTACTACTATGGTTCTTGTAAATTTGGGTTGTGATGTAATTTTTCCTATATTCAGGCATTTTTTATCCTAAATATTTAATATCTTTGGTGGATGAAATAAATTTGTGAGCGTATCATTAAATCAACGTGTAATAACATGTATTTGGTGAATACATAAGCATTCTTAAATGTTTTACAATATTAAATTAGTAACCAACAATGATCAAAAAGTAAAAAAAAAAAAAAAAGTGGTAACCAACAATTCTCAAGCCAAATAGGAGATAGGATTGGATAGAATTAAAGGGTAAAATGGTCAATTTATGTCAAATGTATTAGATGTTTAACAAAAAATTGAAATTTGTCCATATCCCAACCACATCATAATGCAATATTCAAACCTGGGATTGGATAACACAATTTTCTTTTATCCCCCTAACATATCCGGCCCATTGAGATTTCACTGGACTGGTTTGGGATTTAAATTCAAGCTAGTTCAATCCACCCATAAATTGTCAAACACACCCTAGGGGGATTATAGGGAGGATTGGATTAAAATTGTGAATAAACCCCACATATCTTTGGTTTGGGTAACTTTTTAGCATGGAATTTTCGTTGCTTTTGAATTCATCTGGCCCGTATGTTTTGAAGGGGATAATCCCCTTTGAAGGTGATTGACAAAACCCATGTGTTGTGTGGAATTGTGGAACGAGAGTAGGATTACATGTGAAATATCTAAAATACCCTCCACAGTAAATATTTTAGGGTTTTTACCTCCATTCCCCTTCACTTTCCATTTCCCACTGGTCCCCCTTTCTTCTTGAACGATGCTCTCTCCACCAACCTGGTTTCTCTCTCTCTCTCTCTCTCTCTCTCTCTCTCTCTATGTCATTTCCTTTGGTCTGTGAAGTGGGGAACAGTTGTAAACACAAGTATATGAGGCTTGACCCTACAAATTGTCATCTTAGAACAACTTGCTCGACTGACTTATCTCTATGTTTCTTTCATTTGCTCCATCTCTCTATCTCTTTTTCTCCTTTCTTCATTTGTTCAATCATACTGCTTCACATCGGCTCTGATTTTTCCATGAAAATAGTAGATCTAGGTAAATTTTTGATGCAGCTCAGCTCCACTATGGACCCAATAATCTGTTCTCTCTCTCTCTCTCTCTCTCTCTCTCTCTCTCTCCACACTAACCCAAATAGCCTTTTTTTTTTTGGTACTATGTTTCTTCGTCTCTTGCTATTGTGGTGTTTGGAACTCTCCAAATACCACTCTGTTGAGCAAATCTGCTATCCATGTCCATGGAAGTAGCAGATCTGCAAGTGTAAGA